TATTCTTGAATTCTTTTACCTAGAAGATTTCCTTTCCCACCAAGAAGAAATTTGCTTTCATTAGGAAGAAACTACGCTCACATCAAGAAAAAGTCTTCTTGACGAGAAATTCAAGAGCAAGTTCTACTCTAATCAAGTAACTTGGTTTTCGTAGTGGAAGTATAAGCATTTAAGCAAGGTCGTAATAAGAACTTAAGTCAAGAGCTAGGCTAAAAAACTAATATGAGTCCTCTCAAGGATTAACATTTTCTTGATTTGATGTATGCAAGTGGCGGCTAGCAGTGATTAAGAGGTTACAAATATAGAGAAATTTCGATAATTTTGAGTTTGATTTTTCTCATGCAGACCGAAGTTACAAGGGAAGGATAACCTTTTTAGGCGCATTTCAGAAACTACATAATTTTTACTAATAGTCTGATTCGCAAATGTGCTTCTCCAAAAATGCCTATTACTTTGTTCCTCTTTGCTAAATTCAGATCATGTAACATTCACTATTGCATTCGATTATCATTGTCGGTGGGACCCAAAAACATACAATTTTAACGCCAAATCTGGCCTCTCCGGTGTGAAATAGTCACTCGTCGTAGTACGGCGGGCGGGGAGACGGGGGGCAGCTGCTCCCTTGGCACTAATTTCACTCATTCAACCCGCGCACGAAATTTAATGCAATCATCTCTCTGTCGAACAACTCGCTACATGTCGGGGAAAAAATTTACTTCCCCGGGAAAAATATGTTGCGAGAAAAAGTTTTTCAATTTTCCGTCAAGTTTCGATAAATAACCTTTTCCGCTTCCCCGAGCCGGGGATATTCAAAGCGCTATCCCGCGGGAAACTTGAGATGCGGCGCGCAGCGCGGGCGCCGCTCGGGAGGGAAATCCCCGGAATTTCCCGCTCGGAGACCCGGGGATCACGGTTGATTAACGCCGGAGCGGCAACGCTGCGCGGCGGATAATTTATCACCGAGTGTTTAACTTATCAACTGCGGAGCTGTCTATCTCCCTCTGCGTCTTGAAAATCACGTAGCTTAGCCGGGGGAAGCTAGGAACTTTTTTAACGTATGAGTTCATCCTCGAACCGCACCTTGCGAATCGGTGATAATGTCCAATTCTCCGCGGGCTCCCGCAACATGACCCATTTCTATTGTGGAAAATAATGAACACTAGAGTTGTATCTTTAACGATTTTTTTTGTTTTTTTAAATTTTAGTGCCCGATGTGAACCATTTTTGAAAAGTCGATCATTTTATGATGCATCAAAAAATACTTGTGATCGACAACGAGAGAAAGAGCACTGAAGTAAAAAAAAACTCTCATTTAAGTTACGTATTCATCGGATATCGTCAAGCAAATCTCAGTCGTATCTGTATATCGGGACTTTTCAAAAAGAGCCCATCTATTTAGTGGAAGAGGTTGGGTTGATTTTAGTCGAATAGAGCCTGTGTGGGTTTTGGGGTAGTCCTATACAAGATCCTATGAAAATGACGATGTGGGTGAGTAAAATATGGGACCATGTTGACGCAAACATGGTATCGACTCTTTGTCAACATGGTATTGACTCTTTGTCAACATGGTATCAACATGATATCAGCACAGCATGGTACTTATCAAATTGGTCAACTTGTCGAATTGTGACCAAACATGAAAAAATGTTGAGACCAGGTTGATGCCATATTGATACCATTATTTTCCATTGGGATACAAAATTGTTGAATTACCTACTCTCAACTTTATCCTCCCTATTGGCATAAATATGAATTATCATACAACCCATTCTGAAGCACAACAAAGGGCGTTTCCCGTTGGGATCTCAGAACCGATTTTTCGACCCATCTCGAAAAAATCTCGTTCTTGAAAAATTTACTTCCGGTAACCAAGGTCCCTTTTCTTGTCTTGTGAATGGTCGCACATTATTAGTACATATAATTAAAAAAATTCACATAAATATGTATAATACGTATAAAATTCAAAACTCTTCAAACATTTTTCGGAGGTCAAAATGTGATAATTAAATTTTTTAGACTTCAATTTTAGCCCCAAATGAAACTTTTCGAATATATGGATCACATTTGGACGTCCTTCTGTCAGACGGAACTATGTGCATTATGACGTGAGCTCTGTCATGCATATACTCTTACGAATCTCAGGGCTCATGACTTAATGCACATAGCTCCGTTTGGAAGAAATACGTCCATTTTGAAATAAGGAACCACTATTTCTACCTAATTTTAGAAACAACATATGCGCCACTGGTTTCCTTTTTCAGTGAGGTGCTTCCATGGAAGAAGCAGAATGGACCACTAGACAAGGTACGAATTTCAGCATTCTGATACATGTTTTGTAACTAAAATTTCACGTAGAACACGATGCGCACAACGACAATTACCGAAATCAACTCCTTCCAAAGATATTTAATGATTCCTGATGCGTAAATTCAACTCACCCGCTCATGAAAACTCAATGCTCTGCGTGATTCACATCGCGCGCTAAACGTTCATCATGACAGTCTCTGCTATATAAAAATCCGGCAAACTCAATCTTAACGGGTTGGCTCAGCTATAGCAAATTGCTTATAGTTTGAACAACACATGGTGGGAAATGAACATTGATCGATTGAGAAGATTGCTGAAACCGTTGTAGTGCGCGATTTGACTCACGTAGAGCTTTGAGTTTCTTGTGAGCGGGCAGTTCAAATTCCTTGTAACCAATGGGAAATAAAAACGTTAATATCTTCGTTAGGAGTTGGTTTCAGTCATTTTCGTTGCGCGAATCGTGTTTTGCGTGAAATTTTGGTTAAGAAACATGTATCAGGATCATTTAATTCGTACCTTGTCTAGTGGTCCATTAGTGGTTCCTTATTGCTCAATATAATCTGTATGGTCTTTCCAGATTTGAAAATTTCCTTAGCTCTGGCTCCCAAAAAAGGTTATCCAAAAACTAAAAGTTTAACGTCAAGTAGACGGTTTTCGAGAAGGCAGAGCTCTCGCAATCTTCCCTACGATGGGATTTACTCAGCTTCTTTATTCGCGGTCCTCTTCAATTGAACAATTTATTACTAAAATGACGTAAGCGCCAAAAACTCGCAAGCACCGGAAGTCGTCGCGATCAAGGAAATCCGAGGTTGAGGAGTGATCGGCGCTTGGGTTCTTTCAAAAATAAACGGTTCAATTATCTCTCATCTTTAAAAGCCTGCAGAGGTTAGAAACGCAGTAATTTCCAAGACGCACCGCTATCGGCACTAACAGACTCCCCATTCAAATCGAGAGCACAATGAGCGGACTCGGAGCCGCTTGGAAATTGAAGAGCCTCTAAAAGTAAGAAATATTTAATTTACGAAACGCCAAGGAAAAATACTGCGGGAAATAGCGAGAACGGTATGGCGAGGCTTTCAGGCTCCAAGAAAACCGTCGGCTGTATCTGGGTTTATCATTTTTGAAAATTCTTACCTGATTCTGTACGGTGCGATAATTGCTTGTAAATTGTAATGCTGTCCTCGTGGTTGAATTGTAAGTGTCTTATTTTATCTCATCAAGCACCTCGAACTTTTTTAATCAACCATTATTTGGTCGAAAATGAGTCGTTTATATTACCACGGTCGATTGACAGAATTCAATTTTTAATGCATCTTTTTGTTTGCGTAAGCAGGGCCGGATTTTCATACTTGCCGCCCATAGGCCGCCTATATTTTGCCGCCCCTTTCTCATTCGTTTTGAAACATCAATAAAAACCATCAAGTGAACGTGCCAGCGGGGGAGGGGTGCATAAGACGCGTTTACTCGTGTTGAACAATTTTTTGGGAAAGCCCTGTCAACACTCCTAGGAAAAGGTCACGGAACATTGCGCGAAAGTCAAGTTTCATAAACCTATCCCTAATGGACAAGGCCTTCCATTCACAAGAAATTAACGAAAAAATTATGAAAGAACAAACACAAAATTTGGTTTAATGATTTCAACCTCCGCCGCCGCGCCGACCGAAATGTGTTTGGCGCAATACGTGAAGTATTCACGCAGTCTTGTAGGCGCTGTGCGTTTCACGCTGACCGCACTGTGTTTGGCGCAATGCGTGAAGTATTCATGCATTCTTGTAGGCGCCATCCGTTTCACGCTGACCACAATAACCGCACTGTGTTTGATGCAATGCGTGAAGTATTCGTGCAGTCTTGTAGGCGTTAATATGTGTTACATCCCGATTACCGCGCCTAAGGCTTCTCCTTTTCATCTCAAGTCGTCGTCATCATTTCTCCCTAAGTCGCGCCGTTCCAGGCCAAATTGTGTGTTTGGTTTCTCTCTTAACTCGACTAATTAAAGGCGCTGTCTCTTGTATCAATGAAAGACAATAAAATTAGAAATTACTATACTCTCAGGAAATGAGAGATTTTGTAGCCTTTTCTCGTTAGTAATTTTTTTTCTCTAAATCCGATTTTTTTTATATTTTTTATTTAAAAAAATTGCAAAATTTACCGCCCCCTAGATTTGCCGCTGTGGGCCGCGGCCCGTGTGGCCACCCCTTTAATCCGGCCCTGTGCGTAAGTTTTTTTTACAATGTTTTAAAACTAAATTGCATTTTTCCGGCCAAATTCAGAATGACGTACTCTGATCGCGGGGTTTCCAAATTTTCGCCCCTATTTTACTCTATATTTTGATTTTTCATATATAATAATAGGTATGCCTGAAGTTGCTATTTTTCATCCCCAAGGCACATTCTCCCATGGATAGATATAAAATTATCGAATTCGTAAAGAAACCTTTTTGCGCGCACATCAGCAAATATGCAACACATTAAGAAGCCATAATACTTGTATTTAATAAGCTCCTGCGGTTGAATTCGTACTTTTTAAGCATCAGTCGATGAAAGCGAAACTCATGTTTACTATTGTCACACGTCTATTCGTGAAAACAATATGGGCTTAGTATTAAGAGTTCCTTCATTCGAAAGGTTATGCAATCTGATTTCCGACAAGTAAAAACAATTGTATCATACCATTGTTTTTTTTATTTATTGCAGGTGTTATCCGACTCATCTCAGCTGAGTGACGCGATCTTTGTTGCTCAGTACTGAATGGGTCACCATGGACAAAGTGTTGGTGACGTGTTGCCTCCTCGGACTCCTGCTGTATTACAACACGCTAAACGCTGGCTTCGTATACGATGACAGGTACGTCAATCCTTCTACTTCCAGCAGATTAACGAGTTGAATTTTTCCATAAAAGTGTGAGAAAAATACACGACGCACAGTAGATCGAATCAATGAGAGAGGTCGGACATAAATTTGTTTACTAAAAGTGCAAATTTTGATGTTTAATTCGTCAAATTTTGAATTAAAGGGGTGCTTCTTAGGGAAAATTTTACGATGAAACCAATAGAACCACTTGTAAAACCTCCAAGTTTTGTATAAACGGAGTTATGAGCGTTTAAAGTTTCCAAATTTTGTCCGACCTCTCCTATTAACTCGAGCCACTGTGCGACGCCTTAGATGTTATGCGTTACGTGTTACTCGTTACTAACGTAAAATTCCAGCCTCACCGAAGGCACAATAATTTTTTTTCGAACCAGTGATATTGACATATCTCGATGGCTAAATTGCAAACCCCCGTATCTCCATTCGCGACGTTGCAGATCTCTTGTCATATATACTTTCTTTTTTCTTCTGAAAAATAGTCCTCGTACTTAATTTATTGAAGATTTTATCAACGGAGATGTTGCGTGTGTGAGGAATTTGCGATTTGACTATCGATTCTTATGTAAAAGTTCGCGAGAAACACGTTGGTGCCACTGGTTTTCTCTGAGGCCCACTTCAAAGCTCAAAAAAAGTTCTTAAGTTGAGGTCAAAATGGAGGGGATATCCCATGCTATCCTGAGAGTCCCCCTCTTCATCAAGACAAACTCTCCATGCAAAGATAGGGAGCAAATACATTGACAGGGCTGCCACTTTATTTGGAGACTCTAAAACTGAAAACACGGCAACCCTGCTAATGTATTTATTTGATCCCTATCTTCGCATGGAGGGTTTGTCCTGATGTAGACGTGGGCTCGCAGGATAGCTTGAGATATCCCTACATTTTGGCCTCAACTTGAGAGCTTTTTTTGAGCTTTGAAGTGGGCCTCAGAGAAAACCAGTGGCACCATCGTGTTTCTCGCGAACTTTTACACAAGAATCAACAGTAAAATTGCAAATTCCTCACAAATGCAACATCTCCATCATTCCACTCTCTTCGCAGAATATTCTTTCTAAATTTTAAGTTGACTCGTCCCTCTTCGAAAAATTAAAATATGAGCGGAAATTTTGAAACCGTGCAATGGAGATACGCGGTTTCGCCTTCAGCCATCGACCTGTTCTTACCGAAAATTTGAAGTGAAGCCATCATTATTATTATAAAATTTGTCGGATTTCTCGATGTTTGTTTTCCTCCGACGGAGCTTCACCCAAAATCGCCCGTCTCTTGGCGCCGGCGCCATGTTCCTTGAGGATCCGCGGGGTTCCGCGGACAGGGTCTTGAACGGGAACCGGAGGAAAAACAGAATTGATGGGGTGTAGCGGGGCGCAGTGCCGCGCCGAGGCGGGAAAGGAAATTTATCGCGGGGAGGTGTTTACACTGGCAATATTGCGCCACGCGGAAAGAGGGGCGAGCTCCACCGCCCTCGGCAAAACCGCGCAAGCTCCCACGGCAACCTCGCCGAGATACGATGTTCTTGCGAGGAAAGGGAGGACTGTCTTCGCGTCGCCGTCGCCTCTCGTCGCGGACGTCCGAAGCCCCTCTAGATGCGCCCGACCTGCGGGAAAGATAAATGCTCCGAGAACATATATTTGCTTTTAGTAATTCATATAAAAGTGAGTATTCGCCTTAAGTAGTTAATGAAACCATCGCGCCCGCCTGCGTTGCCCAATTTCGCAGGCAGGACCGATTTAAACAGGAAAATGAGTGAATATGTCGCAGGCAAATGGTGAAATCAGGCATTTTGTCAAATGCCTAGGCAGATAGTTAAATTTTGACGGTCCACAAAATTTTCTGAATTCATGGCGAAGAGCTCACGAGTTTTCCATTTTTTTGGGAAAATAACTCATGAAACCTACGAACTCTTTTTGTCTCTTCCTCTTCAATTTCTTCTCATATATTTAAATGTTGAAATTCTAAAAATTCTGTATTTTATGACATGTTGAAAATTTCGAGATGAGTGTCCGTTCAGAAGCTGAAAGTCGTTTAAAATACTTTTGTGTGATACAAATTTTTACTAAAATGTTTTTCTTACAGGAAAAATCGACTATTTTGTCTAAAATTAGGAAAAGAATCAGGATTTCAATCTCAGTTAGAATATTTGACTATTTGTCTAGGCATTTGACAAAATGCCTGATTTTACCATTTGCCTGCGACAGATATACCTTTATAGGGAGGGCATGGCTACTGTGCCCCATGGAGGGGCCCAGGGCCCAAAAATGGCGGAGCTTTTTTTTGTTTTTGCGGATTGGAAGGGGGTCATTGCTAGCTTTTGACGGTTGTCACCGACCTCTTGCTGCCAACCTTATTGCATCTAAAATGATTTTTCTTGAAAATTACACACGATTAGCCGTAAACCTATGTGAATACGTCATAATAATGCCTTTGAGTTATGTTTCCGTTGCGATCAGGGCCGGATTCACCCACTTGCCGCCCATGGGCCGCCTATGTTTTGCCGCCCCCTTCTCATTCGTTTTGAAACTCGATAAAAACCATCAAATGAACGTGCCAGCGGGGAGGGGTGCATAAGACGCATTTACTCGTGTTGAACACATTTTTTGGGAAAGCCCTGTCAACTTTACTAGCAAAAGTTCACGAAACTTTGCGCGAAAGTTAAGTCCCGTAAACCTATCTCTGTGTGGACTAGGCCTTCCATTCATAAGAAATGAACGAAAAAATTATGAAAGAACAAACATAAATATGGTTCAATGATTTTAACTTCCGCCGCCGCGCGGCGCAGACCGCATTGTGTTGGACGCAATGCGTGAAGTATTCACGCAGTCTTGTAGGCGCTATCCGTTTCACGCTGACCGCAGTGACCGCACTGTGTTTGATGCAATGCGTGAAGTATTCGTGCAGTCTTGTAGGCGCTAATATGTGTTACATGCCGATCGCCGCGCCGAGGCGAGGGCTTCTCCTTTTCATCTCAAGTCCTCGTTATCATTTCTCTCTAAGTCGCGCAAATGCAATAGATCCGGAACATTTTGGGATTTTCAAAAGTTCCGAATGAAATTCAGGAAAATCTCAAAAGTTCTGGAATTTGGAGCTACTTCCCGGAAATGGGAGCACTGGTATAAATGGGTGGGAACGAATATCGAGAATGAATACAACACGCTGCTCATTCTTCGCGAGCCCCCCGACTCTTAAAGATATCGCACATCCGGTCGTCGATTCAAGATCCCGCTGGATTCCTAACCTCAATGGAAGATCCAACCCCTGATAACCCCCTTGTCGCCTCTCGAGAGCCCCTTCCAGGGATTGGTTACTCCTGAAGGACACTCCAGAAAGCGAGCTGGGGAGGCGGAAGAAAGAGGTGAGAACTTTTTGAATCTTTTCCTGGTGAGAGCTTGTCTTCCCCTCCGACTTGGGGTGGTCCGTGTATTGAGTTAAGCTCAAGACACTTCCGCCACTTGTTCTCTCAACATGTTGCTTACTTCAAGTACCTATTCAAGTAACAGCGTCACCCCCGTGCTGTTGTGCTCAGAAGGAACGTCGTATACATTTTTGGACGCTGCCAATTGCCCTCGATAAAATGATGATTTTTTGGGCCGGGTATGAACACTTATTATTGAAATTTTCAAGAGCCTATTTGCTACTTTAAACCATGGACCGACGATTCTCTGAAAATTTCAAGGTGATATTTTAAAATTTGACAGAAAATCCTCATTTTATCGAAAGAAATTGGGCAACATCCTAATTTTCGTAAGGCGTACTCCCTTAAAACGACATCTAAGGCTTTTTCCTTCCCTAACCTCGGCTCATTCACGTCAGGATAGACTGCTCTATATCCCTCTGCCGTCGCGACTACTCACCTATGAGTTAAATTCGGAAATTTTCCATCTATGTTTATTGTGATCTACCTAAAGTTTTGAGTATCTAGTAGTTTCAATTACCGAAATGTGATTCCATCTATCTGTGATATAAGCTCAGAGACCGTCTAAATTTGGGTATCTGGTAACGCTTAGTTTAAGCGTTCTACCGGGCCGATTTTCATGATTTTGCGGCTATTGACAGGTGATAGTCCCTAAATGAGCCCGCTGTATTCAGAATTTGAAAATATGACCCAGGTTTTTTTTTTGAATGAGAGTAGACCAGAGAGCTTAGGAAGGAGGGGAAAATTGAATTAAGCCGAAAATGTTGAATCTTGGTCCGTCAGTAGGGTAGGTAAGTGAATCGAAGGTATTCTCGTTTGCTACAGACTATCCAAAAGCAATGAAACGCTCCGTTTCAGTCTTTGGCGTGAAGTTTGAAATAAATGCCGATTTTTTCATTCGATTCTTATTGGTCCAATTGCTCCCGGCCAAAGGGAGATTGGATAAATGAGAGTCGGGTATGAAAACCTTTTCATTTTTTTTGGTCGCTCTGTTTTCGACGCGGGCCTAAGAGAACACGAAGCGCCCTCTAGGGGTTGGGCCGCGTAGCGGCCAGGGGGCATACGGCATAGCCCCTTAGTGTATAGCATGAAAATGATATTTCCCTCGGCATCTCCATCTAACGACCGCAACTTGGCAACGAGATCCAAGCAGCATACCTATAGCTTGCTTCTTCTTTTGAGTGCTCCTCTTGAAAATCTTCACCGACTTTCAAAACACTTGCACCCTTTGCATTCGTCACTTGACACGATTCACGTAACGTATGAGCATTCACGCACAAAAAGCGGGAAATACAGCGGTCCTTACGTAAAATATTATTTGCAACGATTTTAAACGGCGTAGTCCTTCCAGAGGCGTCAAAATTGACGTTGTCACCACAAAATTTACTCATTGTCTTTCAAGTAAATTCTAATAATATTCTGAGCTCCCAGCTGACGAGCCTACAGCATGGACGTGTCTGTATCTTTTGACACCCTCTACATCATCTGATGACTGTTGGTTCCTAATGCAGGGTATCTAGCGACCGGAAAAACCGGGAGAACCGGGAAATGTCAGGGGATTTCTTAGGG